AACAAATGTAAAATTCATTTATACAAATAAAAAAAAAACTGTTAAATAAACTCTTTTTTTGTTTAAGATTTTAATAAATCAACTTTATGCATTAAATATTTCTTTCGATTAATATTTTGAAAATTAAGTGATGACGAATTTTTATTTACAAGACACAAGGTCGAGAGTGTTGGAGAAATAAACACTTAAAGTCAAAATTTCTCAAAAAACTGATTGAAAGCATCTAGTTTTCTTTATAACTTTGAGGGCGGAAAGTCAATTTTGCTAATGAAGGTCACTGTGGGAGAAGCTTAAATATTGGAAAAAATAAACGTAAATTTTCTAAAAAGGGCTTTTTCATGAAGTACACTAACAGAGTAACTTCAATATACCCAAAATATCGCGTGATCGAAATACTTTTAAATTTTAGATGTTGAAATCACAAAGCCGCGATAAAATATTAGCATGCAAAGATGTTAAAACGAACACAAAAAAATTGTGAATTTTTAATTTTTTTCTGAATTTTATCAGTAATCAATCTTTATATAGAAAGAATTGGTTTGCAGCACGCCTCTAATTTAAATTGGGGACATTATACCTCAACCGGTAGCAGCTGACAATGATGCTTATACGAAAATCGATAAACCGTTGGAAAAAAAGTACGTTTTTGCATTAAAAAAGTATAAAAAAGTTCATTCATGTAAATATATATTTTTTTTTTGCAAAATTTAAATTAACCGGACTTGTTTTCACTTTAACGGTTTTCTGGATTAATAATTCATTTAAATTTAGAAATAAACAAGTAAGAGTGCTATATTCGGCTGTGCCGAATCTTATATACCCTTCACCACAGTGTATTTAAAAAATATCAATTCTATAAAATTTTAATTTATTTAATTTTCCCGTTTATATCATTATTATGGCAATAGCAAAACGAACAACAACAACGCTAAACGAAATAAACACACTAAAAAACAAAATATACAAGGCAGTAAAACCAACAGACATCCAAAAATACGAAACGAAATACACAAAAAAACAAAATACACAACGCAATGAAACCAACAGACATCCAAACATACGAAACTGAATACACCAAAAAACAAAACCAATATACACAAGACAATGAAACATACGAAACGAAAATCTCAAAAAAAGCAAAAACAAAATACACAACGCAATGAAACCAACAGACATCCAAACATACGAAACTGAATGCACCAAGAAACAAAAACAATATACACAAGGCAATGAAACACACAGCCATCCAAACATATGAAACGAAATACTCAATGAATAAGCAGTGTTGTTGTTGTTGCTTATATCAAAGCATGAAAAAAATTGTCTTTTTTATAAAATTTTCAAAAGGTTGTCTCAGATTTTTGCTCATATCTCCAGTATTTATGGACCGATTTTGCTGATTTTATATAGCGATCTTCTCGAAAGCATGTCTAACAGAATTGTTGAAGATTCGGATCTCGCCGATATCTGGGGTCCTCTAAAAACTGATTTCAACAAACACACAGACGGACAGAGAGACAGACGGACATAGCTTAATCAACTCCGCTACCTATAAGGATCCAGAATATATATACTTTATGGGGTCGGAAAATTATATTATAGAAATTACAAACGGAATGACAAACTTATATATGTATACCCTTCTCACGAAGGTATAAAAATGTAGTCAATTGTAAATAAGAAAGGATATGGTAACTATAAAAGAAATTTCATAAAAATTTCTCTTTCGCCGAAAAAACGCGGTGTTTCTTGAGTTAAAAGATAATTCGACGAAGCACACCTAAACCGCTAATTAAAATTGGTAACACTTAACATTAATCGGTAGCTGACAATGCTGCTTATATCAAAATCGATAAGCCATTAGAAATATGTACGATTTTCCATTAAATGCATTGAAAAAAGTTCGGTCATGTGTATGAAATTTATTTCCAAACTTTATATAGATTTTCATTTTAACGGTTTTTATATTATTTAATCATTTAAATTCAGAAATGGAAGCATAAGATAATTATAAACAAGCAGTTATTAAAAATATTTGCATCAAAGTTTCTCGTGTGCAGAAAATGCAGTGTTTTCCTTTTAAGAATAATTAGTGAAGCACACCCTTCACGCTAATTAAAATTAATAAAATTATATTCTTTTAGGTTGCTATTAATGAGGTCTATAGCAAAATCTATAAAAAAAACTACAACCATTTTGGATTTAATGCAATTTTAAAATAATTCATTCGAATATATGCATAAATAAATTAAAACTTCATAATTTTTAGTCTATCAAACATAAATGCATATTTTTTAGTTAATGATTGTAAATTAATGTATTAATTCATCATGTTAAAAAGTCCAAAAAAATGTGTACATAGTTTTATAAAAAAATATTTTTTGAAGAAAATCTAAATTAAAAAGAGAATTTCCCATATACATACAGTGTCTCACATAAATATTCGAATTTATTATTTTTTATGAATTACTGTGTTATTTTATGATGTTACTTTAAAAATAATAATAGTATTTAAAATTTTTTAATGAAATTTTATTAATTTATATTATTTCTACGAAATACAAGAAAAAAGTAATAAAAACTCATTAATGGTTTCCAAGAAAATGGAAAAAAACCCAAAAAGGGTCATTTCAGGTACTGCGCAAAAATATTCGAATTTTTTCTAAGAACTTCTTTAGAATCCTTGAACACGTGTTTTATTGCCCATTAATTAACCCATTATGCAGGTAGTGGTTATATGGAATATTTAACATTATATTTTTTGGAAATTTGCATAATTATGTTGTAAATCCTTCCTGTGTAAGCGCTTAAAATGTTCAAAGAAAAAGAGTTGATCAATTCAAATTATAAAATTAATTTATATCTGAATAATCAAGGCCGATCAATTAAATACATATAGGAAATGGTTGATAGATTCCCATCGACAATATATTTTGTCATTACACGCATGGAACAAGGAATTCCATTGAGTATTTACCATTATCAAGTCGTCCAAAACTGCTGTCAATACAGGACGACAGAGAAATACTGAGGAAATACCGAAGGAACCTTCATCTATCAGCTCCAAAAATTAACAACGAACTCATGACAGTCCTGTGAATAAAAATTAGTGTCGAAATTGTGGGCAAAGTACTAGGGAGCAATAATTTGCATAGTCAAGTACCAAGGTGGAAACCGCTCATATCGAAGTTAATCGATGTTAAGTGTCTTGACTCCGCAAATAGACTCATAAGTAAGAATATTGGATTCTGGAAGGAAGTTATTTTCGACGATTAGAACAAATATAATATTTTTGGCTCAGATAGTCGTCAAATGATATGGCGAAAGCTTGGAGATGCCTTGGAATTATCTAACTTAAAACCAACTGTAAAGGACCCAAGTTGCTCTGCCATATTTTGGGGTTCTGTGTTCGTCCACGGTGTTGGACTGCTAAAATTTATTATTGTAATTATAGACTAGAAGGTCCACTTGTCAATTTTAGAGCAGAATTTGCATGCTAGTACCACCAAAATGGGGCTACAACCCATTCAATTTATTTTTCAACAGAAAAACGATCCAAAATACACGACCTGGTACGTGAAAATGTTGATCATTTACAACACTAAGTATCTTCTTTCACCAAATTTTCAATGGAGTATATGTCTGGACTTAAACTCCATTGAAAATTTGTGGTTATATTTACAAGAACAACTTTTAAATCACTCATTATCCTCTAAAACCACCATACGGTTGCTTTGCATGAAGAATGGGACATAATAACGCCAGAACTATTCCATAAATTGGTAGAAACGGTCCCACGACGCTTGGAAGTTGTTTTTAAAAACAAAGGCTACTATACAAAACATTAATTTCATTTTAATTATTTATTTTTACTTCATAATGCTAATCTAAATATGATTTATACAAAAAATTCGAATAATTTTGTGAAGCTATTTTTTGCACTTTTTTTAAAAAAATAAAATTAGTTTAAGTAAATTATTTTTTTTTTAATTTTTAAAATGTGGTATAAAATTTAAGGACTGTCTGGACAACATAATAAATTTATTTATTTATTTTTCCCACAAAATCTATTATAAAATGATGTCTGTTTTCATAATACATTAAATTCGAATACTTATGAGAGACACTGTATGTATAAGAAATTTCCAAGAAGATATGAAATGCATCCCTACAAAAATACTTTGTCTCATAATAAAGGCAATATTGATTTTTTTTATTGAAACCTTTTGCACACATCCAACTAAATCTCTCTTACTTCATACTCGAATTTATTGAATTTTAAATGTCGTAGTAATGCATAAAATGCACAGTGCGATATTTTGTTTGGAAATAGACATAAAAAGTATCCAAATGCAGAAAATAATTCATCAATTAAAAAATATTTTCACATAACAAATCTTAATTTTTTCTTTTGGACAAAAATACTCTAACAAATCAAAATATGTATTACCAACATATCGTCACCTACAATCAAACAATTTAAAATGGAAAGTTAAGTTTCAATAAGCGCGATTTGTTTTTCTTCGAAATAAATATTTTTCAACGGTTTTGACAATTTTAAAAATTTACTTAGTATGTTGTATTTATAAATGATCAAAATGTCGAACATCGGAATTGTTTTAATTACGAATTAGTTCTCAAAAAAAATTAAAATTATATTGATTTAATTTAAAATTGAATCCGTTTATGTTATCAATCGAATCAGAATCGTATTTTAGAATATGAACCATTCTTATTACTGAAGCTTTTCTTATTGGTTATCGGAGTCCAATTTTTTGTGAACATTTGGTTTGGTTCAGTACATTAGAATTAATGAAAATTCGATTTGTAATTTATTGTTAGTTAGGTGACAATATACATACATACATTTAATAAGGTACTTTAAGAATTTTGCTTTTTTAGACCGGAAAATAAATAAAAGTTAAATTAGATATTTCATTAATTTAATATAAAAAATACAATTAAATATTAACTTTTATTCTTTTCTTAAAAATTTCTAGGGTTGGTCGTTCAATAACTCCACCAAATGCATTAGTAAGTCCAGCAGCAAACTCAACCATGCCAACAGCCGCTGCTGTAGCGGCTGCAGCTGCAACAGCAAAAATACAAGCTTTAGATGCAGTTGCAAGTAATGCTGTTCTCGGCTTAGCTGCCGCTACTCCTTCCCTCGGAATGCAGCCCCTTGCAGCTAAAGTAGCTACATTGCCGCTCTCAACACCTGGAAATAGTTTACATTCCGCTATTTCTTTACCCACAACTGCTGGTACTTCATTTATATCTACTGGTATATTCCAAACTCCAAGTGTTGCTTCAAATATTATGGCTGCTTCAGCTTTGCAAGCAGTTTCTACGCAAGCTATAAATGCTGCTGCAAAGACAATAATAGGTCCAGGTTCTAATGTGACAGTTCCACTTATTAGTAAATTTAATGCAGGCGCTTCGGAAGTAGTTCCATTGGCAACAATACCCAATCCCATAGTACCATTAGCTAATACAAATGCTACAACTATACCAGGCGCAGTAACGAATCAACAGGATCAAATACAAAAACCACATGACAAGCAACAAGAAGAACTTAAGAAAAAGATTCTGGATGAGGGAGAAACTCAAACTCTACAACAACAAGAAAGTATGTCTATTAAAGGTCAAAGCGCCCGACAATTTGTTATGCAGCGTTTGATGAGACCGCAAGAATCGAGAGTTATTATTCTACGCAATATGGTTGGACCTGAAGATGTTGATGAAACACTACAAGAAGAAATTCAGGAAGAATGTACTAAATTTGGAAGTGTCAGCCGTGTAATTATATTTAATGAAAAGCAAACAGAAAATGAAGATGACGATGAAGCAGAAATAATTGTTAAAATTTTCGTTGAATTCACTACAAATACTGAAGCTACGCGTGGAAAGGATGCTTTGCATGGGCGTTTTTTCGGTGGTCGTCGCGTAATTGCAGAATTATATGATCAATCACTTTTTGACCATGGCGATTTGTCTGGTTAATAATACTAATTGTATTTGCAGACTATCACTAAGTACATACATATATTCTTATTCTAAAAATAAATGTATATCAAGTAAAAATAAAAGTTTCAGCAAAAAGTTTTTTATTTATTTTTTCAACAGCTTCAAACTATTTTTTTCTTTCTAAAGTAAATCTACCCCAAAAAAAAAAATCTGGAAAATGAATTAGCAAAAAATAAAAGAATTATTAAAGCAGACTATGGGAGAAGTCGATAAATTTTTACTTCATACAGTCAAAACAAAATAAAATGTAAGTAGATATGATTATCAAAAAAATCAAATAGAAAATATTTTTTGTGTCTACACTATCCCATCTGAAATAAAATCAAAGAAAAAACATAAAATTTCATTTAAATTGGCTTTTGTTTTTATTTCTGATTTTTTCTGTGTTTAAATAAAAATAAAACTCTGATAAATTGAAAAAAAAATCCAATCGTTTTCAAATTTTTAAAAAAATTTTCAGTAAGTTTCATTACATTTTGTATATACACTATTATATTTTTCATTTTATTTGAATATTTTGACATGTTGCTTTACTGAATATTATGTGTGTAGTCAGCTTAAGAAATTAAAAATAAAACAAAACAACCGTGTAAATTTGTCTAATTTCACTTAAAATTTCATATTTTGTAGAATATTTGCACATTTTGATAATATCATTCCTTCTCCTGGACACAATATTCCCCAGAACCCACTAGAAATACTATGACATAAATTTTAACTTTCAGCCCATAAATTGGCAAAATTCCTAGGGATTTCTGCTTTTATTTGTTGCTCCATATCATTTCATATGTTCTTTATTGGATTGGGATCGAGAAATTATACTGGGCACTGCAAATATGTCAATCCCGCTCGCTTCCACTTTTAACACATTTTCAGTCGTTGTCGACCAAAAACGCCATTTAAATTAACTTTTTTTCTCTAATTTTTTTACTAAAGTATTTAAGAGCATATCGTCCGTCCCTGTTTTAAATATTAGTACTATGTGGGTTTTAACAAAGTTTTCAGAATGGCAAAAAACAGTTTAGTTTGGCTGTATTTTTGATATATAGCGATGCTTTAAAAAAATATGTCTCTTCGCGCATTCGTTAACAAAAATAATTAATACTATGTATTTTGAAAAATAACTGAATTTTGATCGCGCTTTAGAGCAGTTCAAAAAAACTCCACATTGGAAAACATTTTTATATTGAAATGTTCTTTCCAGATTTGATTTCTTTCGAAATATGGGTTAAAGGACTTTAAGGGGTATATTTGATCAATTACAATACCATGTAGCGGATGTTAGCATTACATCCATAACTTCTGCGAAATTTACCTTAGTAAACGTTATCTATCCACATTCGCAGACAAAATGGCTAAAATTAAGAATTTAACAAGATAAAATAAAAACTAGTTTTCAACTTTATCTTACAATTTCCACTTATTATCTGTTTATGCAAAAATTCTAATAGGTCTAGAAGTTGCAATTATACTTTCAATTTGAAATTTATTTTTGTGGACTTAATTTATTAAGTACGTAGACTAAAAATCGGAATAATAAATATAGCCTACTTCTGTTTTTCATACAAGAACTGCAAGTGCTTTAACTAAATGTTCATATAAAAATATTAACGGAAGGACGGACAAGATTTAATCGCCCCAAAAAGTGATTTGAAGTTGATCAGTGCACCAAAAGTTGAGTGATGATCCGTTATTTACGGTGTCAGATTGACTAGTGTAAATAAAATAATATTATAGTAGTGTTATTATTTAAATCAATATAATTTGAAACACAGTCTTGCTTTGGCAATTGCCGTGTTAAGTCGATCTTTTTTCTCTCTCTTAATAAGTGCGGATAGTATAACGGTTTTCTCAGTTTACTTTAAACAAACAGAAACGTGTTTTTTTTTTCTTATTTATTGTTGCTTAAATATCAAGAATAACAAACAAAAATTTTTAAGGAAAAAATTTCAACCTCTTTCTGAGGACTGAACCACCCAAATATGAATGGTTCACACCACCTGAACCATAACGGGTTCAGGGAACTATGATCAAATGAGGACTTAACCAACAGGGGTAAAAGGTTCCGTGTTGATGACTTTGTAGCTCTCCCAGAAATAAGACAATGCGACGATCATATCCCTCGATTCCTTGTCATATCAGTCAATATTAATAAAGAAGACCGCTGAGAAATTCAGAAAAGCCAATTACATCGACACAATACCTGTTTCCATTACTTATCAAATTAGGAGGGAACTGTGCAGATAATGTAGAGAAAATATTCACCAAGAAAAATTGTCCATCATTCCTAAAACATAAAACTGTTTTGAAAATAAAAATTGACAGAAGATGCACAGAGAAGCATGGAAAACCTATAACTCCAATCCAAAAGCACATAAATTTTTTACAAAAAATAACCCCAAACCCACATTTGCAAATATTACCAAAGGAACAAATAACGTAGCACAGTGGTATAGGAAAAAAAAAAGAGGGAAATAATTCGGTAACTTCTAAACGGTTAATCCGTTTTTAATGAAATTTGGTATGCACAAAGAGGAGGTGTTGTCGAGTTTAGGTTTTGAATTTGGACCTTATAGGCCAACCAGGGGCCCGGCGGGGGGTCCTCAAATTAGGACACCTCGGCTATGTTAAATTTTTAAAACGATCCTATTTCTTCATTTGAGTTCCGATTTAAAAAAAATTTCGTATATAGAATCTCCTCATCGAGCACTATAAAAAATTATCTCTTATAGTTTAGGAGATATTCGCATTTGAAAATTAAAATTTTAAAATTTTTACCGTCCTTACTTTAGTTTTTTGATAATAGCGGGTCCAAATATTCCCGATTTTCGCCATTTTTTTATTCGCTTAACAACAAGTTTATATATCAAGCAGTGAAAGAATTATGTAAAAATCATGACTGAGTCCAAAGTTATAGGCATTTTAATTTAAAAAATTAAAAAAAGGCGATTTTTTGCCATTTTTTTGGGAAAAAAGTATCTTTTTCTTTTTAAGTTATCTAAAAAGTTTCTAAGAAGATGTATATAAAATTTATACTTTTTGGAAAGCTGACTTTACATAAAATACGATAAATGAAACAAAACCTAAAAATTTTTGATACCGAGGGGACCAGGTCCATCCAAAAAAACCCTATTTTTTATGAAAAATTCAATTTTGAGCAAAAATTCTCAAATCGCATAGTCGATATCAAATTATAGTGACCTGTTTTATATGACTCAATATGTTCTTAATCATTTTGTAACGGGTTTCGATAACCCCACCCCTGGTAAGGATATAATAGGCAAAAAACCAAAAAATCCCATTTTTGGGATTTTTTAAAACTTTTTTGGGAATTCCGGGATTTCTAATAAGAAAATTCGAAATTTTTATTTAATTTTGGATTTTGAGTAAAAAAACTGTAAAATTTCATCAAAAAATATTCATAAATAAAATTTTTATTGCAATTTGAAAAATTTGTATCTTCGCAAAAACTGAATAAAAAACATTTTTTAATTTTCTTAAAAAAAGTATTCCGCGAATTTTTTAATTTTCAAAAATTATATACAGTTTTGAAAAAATAGACAAAATTACCTTTCCATTGATATATAACAGCCTACCTAATGTTTTTTAAGTGACATATTAATTAGGGAAAACTCAACATCTTTTAGAGAATTTACCTAGTACTATTATTTTCATCCATACATTTGTTAGGCATGTTTTATGAATTTTTACAGCCACTTTTTACGATTAATCTTTTATTCTCTATCCCTAAAAAAATTAACAAGTATTTATTTTATATAAAAATAGTCTTTATTTTTTTTTTTATAAATTAATATAATTTTGTAAAATAATCGGTATCACAGTAGTCCATATCTAAAAGATAAAGTAAATCTTTAAATTCATGAATATTTTCAAATGCTAACGTTTTGTTTCCTTATAGTAGATAAAACAGGATCAGAAGATAGAATCAGATTATTAAAAATATCTTCATTTTTAGACTGCCTAGAACACTTCCTTGAGCTAAACTGATGAATATGCTTAAAGTCTCTCTTCCTCGATTCTTGGGGTTCTTCTGTAAGCTCTCCTAAAGGCAGAATATTATGTTCTATGATGACCTTTCCATGACATAATATCTTGTGAAATGTAGGTGTCATTTCTTTCCAGGGATATAATTCCAAAAGTAATTTAGAAACTTTTGTAGAATACTCTCCAAATTTTGTTGCGTTCACTTTATGCTTGCTATTTATCGCCATTAGAATAATATTGACCTTTTGCAGTAAATCCATATTAATTCCGATTATTTCGGAAGTAGTTTCGAAATGATTGAAAAAACGTCTAGCGGTATTACCATCGTTTGTGCTTCCATATCCTGTGAGTGGTTTATCAATATTTAATCCCATCCGCTTTTTAAATTCCTCTTGAATTCTTCTTTTCTCACTGGCTCTCATTTCCATTAACTCCTTATTGTTATTTGCACTTTTGTTTGCATTTTCCGGTATGCTTCTGTACTTTAAATCATATGCTAAATGTAGAAAATGTTCCAGAAATCGTATGCGAGCATGTAGGGGGGATATTCCAAATTGTAATGTTTCCTCATTTATTGACCTTTGCTTGGAAATATTCGAAAATTCTGATTTTTTATCACCACATGTAGCAGTACCAAGTAGATGATGTTGCTGTAATGACATTTCCAACTTTCCCATCAATTATTGTAAGTTTTAAATCATAGGACATGTTAAACGAATAATTTTCTATTTCGATTGTTATAGGTTCCAAGTTTTTAATTTCTGCTTCAATACGATTTATCAAATCTTGCGTTGTTGTTTTGGATTCCTTTATATACTCAAAGCTTATTGGCCTACAAAAAGCTTTGGATCCTGGAGTCGAATTCTTCCAAATATCATCGAAACTGGTTGATGGAGAATCGCTGTCAGCATACTTTCGAATTCTTAATGGAACTAGCGATGCCATAAATACACTTTTATACTCGGAAGATGATTCACTTGTGTTGATTTGTTTATATTCCGAGAGTGCTGATAATCCATCACATCCCCACTTACAAATGAGTTGAAG